CCCTAGACCAACTAACTCTCTGCAAATCTATGTGTGTAAAAATGTTAATCTCTCTCTTAATGCTAATAGTCTAAGTTCGAAGTAGTTGAAAATTAAAGAGTAACATTGAGTTATGAATATGTAATTGTTATATGTTGAATCATGTAAATTTATCTATATATATGTACTAGTGGTACCCCGTGCTATGCACGCGACTTTATAATTTTTTTTTTTAAAAAAAATATTATAATTATCTTGAAATAATCTAATTTGTTTTGTGGTACACATGAAAATTATAAGTTAACTTTTATGTTTATAACTTTTTTAATTATCAGTTTTAAAAAAAATATATATATTTATTTAGTGCAATTTTGATAATTTGTATCAAAAAAAAGTTAAACTTGATTAAATGAGATTAAATAAGTTATGGCATTATGGATGACAATTTAAAACCGACCCGACGAGGATCCCCGACCCCGACCCCGACCCTGATTTGAGCGGTTTTTTCTCGAAAAATACCCCCGACGGGGAGAAGACGGTATTTAAAAATCAATCCCCGATCAGTTTCTGGCCGGGGACGGTGATCAGTGTTTTAAGCCCCCGGCCCGGCCCGGCCCCGGCCCGGCCCGGCCGCCGGCCCCAGGCCCACGGCCCCCCGCCCCGCCCCATCCCCCGAATTTCCCGAAGTGAAATTACTTTATACCCTTATATATAATATATAAATAATAAATAATAATAAAATATAATAATAATAACCAACGTATATTACATTATAATAAACCAAACCAGTGTATTAGATTTATAATACTTTACTGTGTTGCTCTCACACGCACTCTCTAATTCAGATTATATCTCTCTCTCACACTCTCATCTCAACTCTCTCTCACTCTCTCTCGTTCTTCTCTTGTCAACTCTCTTTCTTGCGTCACTGACAGCGATTCGCCTCCTCTTCCTCCTCCCCGATCTCCCTCCTCTCCCTCCTTCTCCGATCACCCTCCTCTCCCTCCTCCGCCGATCGCCCTGCTCTCCCTCCTCCAACCGATCCCTCATCTCCCTCGTCCACGCGATCGCACTGCTCTCCTTCCCTCCGCGATTGAGCCACACAATTGCACCACTGTTTGCGGCAGTCCGGCAATGACACCATCACCACTGTTTGAGCACTTTTCCTCTCTCTCTCCTCTCTCTCTCCCCATCGATTTGTTATATATATATAATATATTAGATTTGTTATATATATATATATTATATATATATATATATATATGTTAGATCTATTTTTTTTTAATTTTTTTTTGAGCTCATCAGATCGTTAATGGTGACGAACAGATCTGTTAGATCTGAATTTTTTTATTTATTTATTTACATTTGAGCATCCGATCTCTCTCTCTCTCTCTATGTTGTAACAATATGGAGCTGATTTAATAATTGTTGTTGTAATGCTAAGTAAACACTCTGGTAGATCTGTTTAATTGTTGTTGTTATAGTTTGAAGAAATTATGGAACTATTTTTTTTTTTTTTTCGTCGGGGACTTTTCGGGGTCGGGGAAACCCGATCCCCGTTAAGGGACGGGAGCGGGGGTGGGAGCAGGGGCAGTGATGAGCTCCCTGTCGAGGTCAGGACCGGGGACGGGGGGAGTTTCCACCATCGGGGATGGGGGATGGGGAGGGTGATCCCGGGCCCCGCCCCGCCCCATTGCCATTCCTATATGGCATACCTTTTCTTGTTATGAAAATATACAAATTTAAAAGTTATAATTAAGACAAATATACAATTTTATTATTAAATGTGATAACAATAATTAATATGATGTTTCTATTATTAATCCAATAATTTTAAGTTACATTTCTTTTGATTACAATTTCATAACTAAAAATACAATATAAATATAATACACATACGGATTTTTAGTCTTTAAGAATAATAAGATTTCAAAATATTTTCAAACTTTCATCATTTTTTTTAAATTTTTTTTTATCTAATTTGATTTTAAATTTGAATAAAAATTTTGATTTGATATGATATGAATTACTTTAACTTTTTCATCAAATTTTTATTAATTTTTAAAAGAACTTTCATTCTTATTTTGATGAAAAAAATAATAATTTTCAATGTTTCATTGTAACGCCTTCAAAATAAACTCATAAATCATGCATTCATTACATCCATAAACTTAAGAGAGTAAAACATATTGCCATTCATGAGAGTATCCTTACAAAAGATATTACATGTTGACAACAAAAGTAAATGCCCTATAGGCTTACAACTTTCCAAGTCAACACTTGGATTCAACAAAAGTAGAGTTCTAACTCTTTACACAAAATAAGACCATGGCTTGATATACATGTAATATACAAAAGAGACACCAAAAAGAGTTATCAGCCTCAAGTCTCCCAAGTTACGTCCTTGGAGGTGGCATATCGTCTGAACCTAAAAATGATGCCCTATATAGGGTGAGCCAACGTCCAGTAAAGATATGCTAAACATAATATGAGCAATAACTAAAATATTAGCATTTGATAAATGTTTAACTCATATAAACCAATATACAGCACAATCCAATTCCATAACAAATATGTCCATGTTCCATTCCATTTTCCTTTACTTAACAATTTCAATTTATAAACATGGCTCAGAACCTGGCCAAACAATTCCCATGAGACTACGGCTCATGTCAGAAACCTTTCCAATATCAACAATTTAAATGAGATTATAACCCATAATAAAACACTTCCATACTTCACAATTCACATGAGATAACGACTCATATTAAAACACTTCCATACTTCACAAATGATACACATATTTGCTATATCAATGGAGTCCATCCCCTATTTCCTCCCAAATAATATCCGGTTTAGGAGTCCATCCACTATCTCCTCCCAAACCGTGGAGTACATCCCCTATCTCCTCCCACATAAAACACATATTCCAAGTATATAAACACTCATCACATCCAAGGATCAATCAATACACATATTTGATGTATTATTCCAATTGTCATATTCAATGATATATTCAATGTGATTAGTTTCAGTTTTCCCTAATCAACATACAGTGTCTACAACAATCAAGACTATCCTCCACCGATAGCCCAAAGCAGTTATTTCTAAACAGATAATAAATGCGTCAACAGATAAATTATCAACATTTTTAAAAGTGAGCGATTTATGAATCCAACTCCACCATTAAATCTCATATTAAGCCGATTTCATCATTTCCATCCCAATTTCATATTTCCATAACTTTCCCAAATTAATTATACAAATTTATTCATACTATAAATTAGGACTTTTCTCCCCCTTTTCCAACATTGACCTAAAGGTTCAAATAATCAACAATAAACATCAGTGACCTCTTTTAAGACCCAAAATACACATGTATTGGTCAAAAGAACAAACCCCTCTTTTCATTATTGCAAATCTCGAACCCTAACTTTCCCAAATCAAACCGTTTATACAAATGCCCAACATCTATGTTAAAGATCATAAAAATGAGTAGTTATCCCTACCTCAAGAGATGAGACCAAACGGAGGAGACGAAGAATTTCGAAGGTGCTCCAAATCCCAAGATTTTTGGATCAAAATGAAGATCAAGGCAAGCTCCACACTTTTTGCAAAGGAACTAAGGAAGAAGATCACTCAAACTAGATCAAACCTTAGAGAGAAGTTGAAGTCTAGAGTGAGAAGCTCTCAAGTTTGGGTTTTGAAAAGGTAGAGAGAGGGAGAATGCCGAAAAGTGATCCAAAAAGTGAAATCCCAAACTGATATAAAAACAGGTCTACTCGAGCGTGAAACTCCCCGCTCGAGCGTCAGATACAGACTTACGCTCGAGCGTCAAAAGTGCCGCTCGAGCGCCGGATGCACACTTCCAGAAGTTTTGCAGACGATGGTCCCCGCTCGAGCGTGAAAGTGGACGCTCGAGCGTCCGATGACCTATAGAACAAAATGCTGAGAGATGAATAATCACGCTCGAGCGTCAAAACTCTCGCTCGAGCGGAGAAGCAAAAACAAAGGGCCCGCTCGAGCGTCAAAAGCCCCGCCCGAGCATGAAGGCCAAAATCTGGGCATCAACTTTTGGTTTCTAAACACAACCAACATGTTTCAAACCTTCCCAACACAACCCAAGACTCAAATACAAGAGTAAGGGATAGAAATGAGAACGAGACAACAACACATCCATGGAACCGAGTCCGGAACACAGTTAAACAACAAGGGAAAACCGGGATCGCTATATTCATCTTTTTAAATTTTTATTAAATTATAATTTGATAAAAAATATATATATTAAGGGTTGAAGATTCACTTAATAGGAATTATAGTGAAATAACATCTTGAAATAGTCAAAGTTTGAGTATATGGTTGGTTGAAATGTATAATTTAATTAATTATCTTCTCATATTTGTATAAAAAATGATACTTATGACTATATCATTATAAGTCAAATTATGGAAAAAAATTTGAGGTTTCAAGCATTTTTCATTTGTAAATATCCTACATATTAAAAAAAGAAAAAAAATGTGTAATTTTTTGATATGTGTTTATCAGTTTTGTTTTATAGACATAAACAATTGATATTTTAATTTAAAAAATTAAAAAGTAAAAAAAAAAATAGATTGGGTTTTTTAGAGATAAAAGAAACCATCTAACTCTTCTATATACTATTTAAGCTGAATTATTTAATCACAAAAAAAAAATATAAATTATATTTAGATATTATCCCTATATATTATGCTATTATATACAATTATAATTGTAACAAATTAACTATAATATATATGAAAAGTTATATTAAGTTTTCATTTTCAATTAATTGAATTATAATTAACAAACTAACAAATAGCAGTAATGGTATAATGGAATAGAAAGAGGATAAAAATAAAGAACATAATGATATTAAAGAGATTTAAATTTACCTAGTTATACAAAAATCTATCGTTGTAGTATAATTTTGAATTCTCAGTAAATTTTTACATTTTCTATAAAATAAAATGACAATAAAAAATAAAAAAATTGATACCCATTTTTTTTCCCTTCAATTTTATGGTCTTTATTGAAGAAAACAAAAATCGATCCAAATTCTTGCCACAGAACGAACATAGATACTTCGATTGCAACCATAATCACCAATAATTCTTCTTCACCATGCAAACCTGTAAACAAACGCATAAACCTTACTAAAATCGAAACCTAATCCAAACTAACAGTAGAGAATATTAAAAAACAAATAAATTTATGGAGTGAGAGAATATTACCTCCAACAAATTAGACCTTACCTAACCTAATTCGTTATCTCCTCCGCCAGTGCCTGTGTAGTCTAGGAGTTAGGATTACTAATTAGATTATTCATTAAATAAGACTTGAAAGTTGATTAATGTCACATTCCAAATGTCACGACCCAAACCCGCCCCTAAGGGTTTAGCATCGTAACCAGCCAGTAATCCGTGATTACCAAAGGCCTGCTTAACAGTAATAACAATTATACAATAGGAGGGGCCGGCAGAAGCCTGTAAATTTTAAAACATAATGTCCAAAGAGCTGTGAGGACTTAAATGCACAAACAACTTACATATATATATATATATACTAATACAGACATAAGTCCAAGTCCATATTCAACATATATATAAAAACTGAAGTCCAAAACACGTCTAAGTACAAAACAAAAGATATGTCGGGGAATTAAATCCCAAAGCCAAAACAACTTATGAAACATTCACTTGACGCCATATGGCATTCATTCAAAAGATGTGGATTTAGACCACCCAAAACAAAGCCTTGACAATAACGGTTTGGAACCTCGTGGTGAGGCACATTAGGTTGGCTTGACAAAACGAAATTAGGCTGACGCCCCTAGCCTTGCTCCGGTGCCTGATCACCTACATATATACAATAAACTGTGAGCTAAAGCCCAGTGAATAACGAATGTGTAAAGGGGTTAAGAATGAATGCCCTTTCAGTAATTAAAACACTCAATTGCATCTATAGATCAGTTATTTGATCAATGTTTCATATTTCATGTCATATCAGTAATTTAGAAATCATAACAATCATACGTAGTATATCCATTAGCAAAACAGTACAGTAGGTCTTAATAAACCGAACAGTCAGTTGATAGCCATCAATACAGTAGCAGTAGTTCCAAGGATAGGAACTGACAGAGATCTCTGTAACAGTAGTAGTAACAGTAACAGTAACAGTCAGTCGCTATGGATGCCACGAGTACAGTTCATAAAATAAGACAAACATTCATTCGGTAAACAATATCATTTCAGAAAATAGTACAGCCAATCATTCAGGAAATAATTATAATTGAACATAGCTTTACAACATTATTACTCACAGATGGCTCCGCTAGCAGATCAGATAATGCAGACAATTCAGATAGATCAAGCAAATGATAGTGCGTGACCTATACAAACCCATAACATATACACATTGAAACACAATATCACTTTCTTGATCAAACTTAACTTTTCTTGTCTACGTAACCTGAAGTTCTACTATACTTAGTCTTTCTTACTCAAATAAACCGGGTTCTCATTTCATATATTCTTTTATTACTACATCCTTCTTTTTCAAATAGACCGATTTCTTACTTGGTTTCTTAATGAATTACTACTTAATCAATGACTTACGCTGTAACCAACTAATTTATGCTATTTCTTAGCTTATTAATCTTCATTTCAAAACTTAGGCTCTTGCATGAACCAATTTAAACATGTAATTTTATTAATAAAGATGAACCCATGACTAATTTTCCAATTTCTAATACAAAAATCTCTTCGATCATTAAGATTTAAACCAATAATTTCATGAATATACTAATTCCAACATTCTTCTTCTATGTTTATAAAACATAAATTAAAGCTATAAAGCCCTTTCAAAGTATTTACATGTAAGAGATTTAAATCAAAATCAAATTAATTTTTTATTTTCAAATATAAATTATAATTTATTTCCATATTGATTAACCTTAACCATGTTCATGAATTAATTCTTTTATTCCTCCAAATTACATGCATGTAGAAATAAGATTCAAATTCATATAAGACATTCAAAATCAAACCCAAAATAATTAATTTTCCAAATTAACTTCTTTAATTTTGAACCTAACTTAATTTCTTTATCTGTCTTACTAATTCCTTTCAAAATATAAAATTAAAACCATAAAACTTATAGAATAACAGTTGCATGTACAAAACTAAAATCAAAATCAACTCATAATTTTGCTCTCCAACCTATCCTAATTTAGATTTAATTTATTTTCTCCATATCAAACTCAATTTCAAACCCACAAATTTTAAAACATAAATTAAACTTCAAAACTCTTGAAAAATTCATAATGCATATACAATTGAAGCTCAATTTCATGTTAAGACAACTAAATTCAAACCCAAAGTGATTAATTTCTAAGTTAATTTTCATAAATTTGAACCTAATTCCATGCAATCAAATCTTCAATACATGATTGTTGCATGTAATTTTTATAACACAATTCAAGAATGATTCTCAAAATTAAACTCAACTTAACAAATTTAAAGAATCATAACTCATAATCTTCAACCTACCTTCATTTTACATGCAAAACCCAATTTCTATCAATTTATATAATTGATCCTCAAATCTTCATTTTTATTCCTCTCAAAATTCATCTTAAATCAATTTATATCTAGATTATTTAAACAATACTAAGAAGATGATAGAATTTCTTACTTGAAGATTAATTTTCCACAATTTTAAACTTGAATCTTGATATCCCACAAGGCTTTCTTCTTCTGCCATTTTTTTTTCCCCCTTCCTCCCGATCTCTCCCTCTCAGTCGTGCTATCTATTCCTTTCTTTTTTTTCTAACTCTGTTTCGAGCAGATTGAAGGCCACCCTTTGATTTCGTTTATCATCTTTTTTTTTATTATTTTATTTTATTCATTAGTGGGACACTTGTCCTTACAATATGAACCCATGTGGTGGTATGCTAGGATTAATTTAGCACATTAATTACACATTAGTTTAATTAAATATCACTTAGTCTTGATTACATAACCTAATTAATCATAAGTAATTATAATTCCTACATGATTTAATTAGTTTAATTTGACTTCTATTAAGGCCCCTAATTAATTATATTTAATCTTTACCATTCTGAATCACCTTTTAATCAAACTCTCGAAGACTCCAAATATTAAATTAAACTTATTGCCATTATCAATTTTGATTTTCCAAATTATTAAGGCCTTCAATTTCAGCTTAAACTTCAAAATCTTAGTCAATAAATTACATATTCAATTGAACACCTCATAATTAAATTTAATTCATAATAATCTTAATTCCTAATTCGTATAACTTAATTAACTCCAATTTGGACCCAATTAATCAAATCTTAGTTTTATAGATCTGAATCGAATATTTAATTAAACTCCCACATGATCCGATACTCGAAATTTAAATAATTCAATTCACTATTTGTACTTTCTTGAGCCATTTAGGTTTTCAATTTCTAATTCCAAAATAACTTCTTAATAGAACCATATATGAATCAATCTCCATAATTTTCGTAAATCCCAAATTAAATTAGAGGCAATTAAATTTCAAATCTCCTTAATTAATTAAGTGCTAATTATTATACGTGATGGGGTCGTTACACCAAACCTGCCCCTGAAGGTTTTGTATCGTAATCGGCTAGTAATCTGTGATTAGCAAAGGCTTGCGTAGCAGTAATAACAATCAAACAATAAAAAGGGCCAGCGGAAGCTTGTACAAATTAAATCCTAATGTTCAAAGAGCTGTGAGGACGTAAATGAACAAACAACTTCCATAAATACATATACCAATGCACACACAAGTCCAAGTCTATGCCCATCATATACGTAAAAGCTTAAGTTCAAAACATCCAGGACACGTTAGGGAATAAAACCCCAAGCCAAAAACAAAATGTAAAACATTCACTTAGGCATTATGTGACATGCAAAAGGGTGGAATTAGATTTCCCAAAGCCTTGACAATAAAGACTTGGAGCCTCGCAGTGAGGCACAGTAAGTTGGCTTGACAAAACGGAACCGAGTCCACGCTGCTAACTCTGCTCGGATGCCTAATCACCTACATATATATATATAAACAGTGAGCTAAAACCCAGTGAATAACAAATGCGTAAAAGGTTTAATGAATGATGTCCTCATCAGTATTTGAAAACAATTAATTACATCAGTGGATCATTTATTTGATCAATATTTCATATCATATTTATCGTATAGTAAGCAAAACAGTCATACATGGTACATCCAATAGCAGAACAATACAGTAATTCTTAAAAGACTGAACAGTCAATTAATGACCATCATAACAGTAAACAGTAGTTCCAACATTGGAATTGACAGAGATCTCTATAACAGTAGCAGGAACAGTCAGTTGCTAAGGATGCCACGAGTACAGTTCAGAAAATAGGACAAACATTCATTTAATAAACAATATCACTTCTGAAAGCAGTACAGTTAATCATTCAGAAAATAATCATAATTGAATATAGCTTTACAACATTGTTACTCACAGTGGGCTCCGTGAAACACGTGCTAATATGCACTAAAGGCGCAACATCCGACCTAAACAAACAAATTCAGGCACAATAACTCAATTACATTCATGCCAGATTTAATCATTCTATTTCTATTCGTTTCGTTGTTCATTTGGTCAATTTATATTCGTTGTTCACTTATTCGATTCCAACTTTCATTTGTTCACTCATGAGATGCAATGCGCATGAAAAACATTATTAAAAGGATGCAAACGGAGGCCTGGAAGGTGAAAGAGAGAAGAGGAAAAATAAAACGGGGTTGTCCAAAAGGGCCGCACGTGCGGAGGGCTTAGCCGCATGTGTGGGACCATTGCCGCACGTGCCTTCCGCACCTGCATATAATGCAGTATACTCAGCTGAATTGCCCTGTTTTCCACACGTGCAGTGCTTGTTGCAAATAGTCCGAAAGTGGCTCTGTTATGGCAATGCAATCCTTAGCAAATTTCACTCATATTTACATGCAATTCTCTTCCAAAACTTTGACATAACACCTTGGAGTAAACATCTTTAGTTTGAAACAAACTTCATAATTTCAATTGAGTTTTCAAACCATGCAAGGAGTTCAAAATCATGATGTGTAAACACAAGTTCATAACTAATGTAAATTGAGTTCCACTTCCTTAAAATGCATGGAGTTTTTCCTCCCAAAGGTTGAAACTCAAACAAGAAGCAAGGAAACAATTAAATGGTCATGAGTTCTTTGGAAAATATGCCATGCATGGTGAATGTGAGAGTTAATTCTTACAATTCTTTTCACATGAAAACATGTATGTTCTACCTCTTCATTTCATGAACAAACCTCTAATTAAACATGAACTTCAACCTTACCCCAGACAAAAACTAAAGGATTAAGGTATAACTTCTCATTTCCATGAAATTTGGTAGAGAATTCTTACCTTGGTTAATCTATGAAGAGTTAAACCGTAGCTTCAATGTTTTTCTTCACTTTCTTCTTCTTCTCCTATTCTATGTTGAGCTCTAATCCTCAAACTCTCTCCCTCTCTCTCTACGTGTTTAACTCTAGCTCACAAAGTCCACTACACCACTCTCTTACTCCTAGTCAATTTGATGAGTCATACTCTAATTCTTTAATCATACACATAAAGGTTCACACAAATAAAGTAATAAATCATATAAACTAATTTAAATTCAATTTACTCAATTTAAATTAACTCTCATTATCTTATGATCGTAATTACACTAAATTAAATTATATTAATGTGAATTAGGCTCTAATTCCTATCCAATTGCTTAATTCTATCTTATTAAAATTAATGAATCAGACATGTTTAGTATTCACTCTAACCTACCTATCCATAATAACACAATTTAAGTAATCACACGGCATAACAATAACACTTCATAACATATAATCACATAATTAGCAATAAGCACATAATCAATTTAATTAATTTGCTTAATTAAGGAGGTGGTTGTCACAATTAATTTGTCCCATTAAGTGATTTAAAATTTGATAGATATACATCAGAAAAATATATAATTATATTACTAAATCATAATTTAAATTTAGATATTGTCATATTTTTTTGAGATTCATATCTAAATTTTTATCTTTTAAATTTTTGTGTGGTTTCGATTTTTTTTTTCCAATTTATTTCTGATGGAGTTGTGGGTTTCTAGTTTTTTTTTAAATTTAATTTATCTGTGGTTTCTATTTGTTTTTAATTATTATCATTTAGGTAAGTTATGATGTGAGTTAGATATATGATATACATGTTAGTTTTATTAATTTAAAGTATGATGGTGAAAGATGTTTTCAAATTAGATTTGTTTAGATAAACTTTAAGGATTTTTAAGATTTAAAATTGGATATTG